TAATAATGAAACAATTACAAAACAATTACGAAATAGCTTTAAAAATTCGTTTCGTTTTTTAGTTGCTCCTGGATGGTTTGTTATCGCTTCGTTATCAAGAAAAATAACGAATTATTAACGAATTACGAAATTAACGAACGAAACCGCCCAGCCCTAGAAAATAAGCCTACTCCCTCTTCCTTATGACTCCCTCTCACATATTTCTACATGGCCCTTATCATGTCTCCTCTCAGGCTTCTCTTCTGCAAGCTAAACATCCCCAGCTCTTTAAGCCACTCCTCACAAGACTTGTTCTCCAGAAACTTGCTCGTTTTAGTAACCCTTCTCTGGACACATTTCAGCCTGTCAGCATCTCTGTTAAATTGTGGTGACCAGTATTGGACACAATATTCCAGATGTGGTCTGGCCAAGGCAGAATAGAGGGGTAGCATGACTTCCCTGGAGCTAGACGATATGCTCCTATTGATGCAGGCCAAAATCCCATTGGTTTTTTTTTTTGCCGCCGCATCACATTGTTGGCTCATGTTTAACTTGTTGTCCACAAAGACTCCAAGATCTTTTTTTTACACGTACTGCTATCGAGCCAGACATCCTCCATTCTGTATGTTGCATTTCATTTTTTCTGCCTAAGTGGAGTATCTTGCATTTGTCTCTGCTGAACTTCCTTTTTTTAGTTTTGGCCCATCTCTCTATTTTTTCTGTCAAAATTCTAAGGTATTACACTGTTCAACGGAGAAAAAGTTACGGGCCTGAAAATAGTTGTTCTTTTATGATTTTGGGGTGTTGAAAACGAAAATGACATTTAAAAATGTATATTGGCTCTAGTTTTTATGATATAAGCAATCACGTGATCACGTATGGTTGAAAAAATGCATGTTGTTTTTTTTTAAATGATTTTTATTGAAGGTTTTTGATGGGGTACATCAAGAGAGTGTCAATCATTGATAAAATAAATCTATAGATAGTGAATCGAGTTCAGGAGTGTAAAGGGAAGGGGGGGTGGGAAAGGGATGTGCATAGGGTTAGGAAAAGGTGTGCGGAGAAGGTGAAGGTTGAGGAGAAGAGAAGTTAGTTATGTTCTCTAATGATTAGAGCCCGGTTCGCATGTTAGTTATGGTATGGGTTGATTCTTTTTTTCTTCGCAAGTTTCCTCTTTGTGCTATAGTTGATTGATGTTGAAATAATTTCTGACTGGGGACCAGTCGACTTTGCTAATCATCCTTGATTGCTTGTTTTTCAGGTGTTCTGTTAGGCAATCCATATTCATTATGTCTAATAATCTGAATGTCCACTCATCGATTGTAGGGATTTCTTTGTGCTTCCACTTTTTAGCTACCACTATCCTTGCTGCAGTCATCGTGTGAAAGAGCAGTCTGTCTTTATTCTTGTCCAATTCAAAATCAAAAATGCCTAAGAGGAAGTATTCCGCCTTCATTTCTTTCTTGACTTCTAAGATTTTATCTGTTATAGTATGTATCTCCTTCCAAAATCTTTTAATTTTGTCACATGCCCACCAACAATGGAAAAAGGTTCCTTTTTTTTCTGGCATTTCCAGCATAGTCCTGGTGTATTTTTGTACCATTTTGCTAGTTTACTGGGTGTTATGTACCAACGGTTCTCTCGCAGGTCATATGAATTTATCCACTTCAATTTGTTATTCCAAATCTCCTCCCAATCTTTTGTTCTTATCGTATGCCCTATATTTCTTGACCATTTTGTGAGGCAGTTTTTGTTTTGGTGTTTCTCGGTCTTCCACTCAAACAGTATTTTATAGAGTTTGGTGATACCTTTTCTTTCTGTACACAATATTTTTCTTTTGGCTCAAAGCCCACTTTTTTGTCTTTGTTAAAGGCTTCCGCCAATTGTCTATGTTGGAACCAAGTAATCTCACCGTAGGTTTGTTTGATTTCTTCTAGTGTCTTGATTCTATATTCTCCTCTATTTTTTGTTAGGATATCCTTGTAGCGGGGCCACTTCTCCCATCTCAATTCCCTTCCTTGGTGCGCTTCGAGTGGGGATATCCAAAGAGGGGTTTTTGAATAGAATTTCATTTTGTATTTTTCCCAAATTTTAATTAGGGAAGACCAAATAAAATGGTTGCCAATTTTTTTTTCTATTTTTCTTTTTGCATACCACAAAAAATGCATGTTGTGACTTACACTATGGAAGATTCTAGAATATTCTAGAAAGTTTGATGACACAGTATTAGTGCTGTGTGCAAAAGCCAGAAAGCCCTATATAAGGCCAGACTTTTGAACGGTGAGGGTCAGTCAGTTGAAGACTGAAACAGTATCGTTAAACATCATTTTACATTGTTCTTTTTTACTGTAGTTATGCCTCGCACGTGTGTAAATAAAGCACTATGGAAAAAAGATATCAAGGTAAATGGACTCCATCAATGCTGTCACACTACTGCTGGAGCATTGTAAGAGACAATCCTTTCCTTGAATACAAAAGAAAAGTCAAGAGATGCAAACAGGATATAAACTAAAGTCACAATTAAAGCGACATTTAAACTTTCAGACTTTTCAACTGCATTAGGCCTACTAATATAGTTTGCTGCACAAACATAAACAATAGACTAATTAAATAAATATTTCTCATGTATAAACTATTGGCAATATAATTTGACTAAAATTTAGTAAATATTCACGGTTTATATACATGCAGTAAGGTTAGGCGCATTATCATAATATTAACGAATTACCTATTGTGGAGAAAATTGAAATAGCTGTTGCATAAAAACCAGAGCCAATTAACACATTTAATTATTATATTTGAATTCAGCATGTTAAATTTATTAAGAAACGGCACATTTCGTTTCCGCAACTGAGAAAAACTGAAAATGTGTAGAACAGTGTTATCTTGCCAGTAAATCAGAAACTCTATTGCTTGATTTTGTTGACTTATGTTTATTCTAATTTAGTAATTGTCAGAATTAAAAGCATTCATGGTTTCTTCGTTTATCATAGTTTATGCCTATGCCGTTTAAGAGTGATGATGGGGCTGTCCCTAAAACCTCACATTTGCTTAAGAATATTATGATGTAGAGCAGATATCAGAAGCATTTTTGACAGGGAAAATATAACCTTGGGAGTTACAAATGTTTCATAACTAACTTTAATATCTATATCTATATAGAGGGGCCTCCCCAGTTATGAAGCCTCTTGGGGTGCCCAAAGCATTGGGACAGCAGTGCCATCCTGCCACCAGAGCTGCTTTCTCCTTCCTGCTCCCTTAACCAACCCTGGCTTGAGTCCAACCCCATTTGCCAGGAAGGAAGATACAGGGGTACATTGGATACCTTGGATAGTGCCTCCCTGCCTAGCATAAGGGAATGGATGACCTCATGGCTCCTTCCCAGTGGGGTGGAAGGGAAGGGAAGGGAAGGGAAGGGAGGAAGGGAGGAAGGAAGGAAGGAAGGAAGAGAGGGAGGGAAAGAAAGAAAGAAAGAAAGAAAGAAAGAAAGAAAAGAAAGAAAGAAAGAAAGAAAGAAAGAAAGAAAGAAAGAAAGAAAGATGAGGGTTTCCTCATTGACAAAGGCTCAATGTGTCACCTGGTTCTCTCCCCAGCATGAGGAAGATGACTAAGAAGCAGAGGAATACTCAACACAGTACCTAGATCTCTTCCCGGTGCGAAAAGGGCTACTGGCCGCTTCATCAGGACCAACTCTAATCCTTAGCAGGTCCCCAGCGGTACTTCCCACCAACACTTGGAAAATAAATGGCCAGAAAGAATAGAATATACAATACATACATTGCTAACTAAACATTAACAATCTTCAATTGAATTTCAGAGGAGCCTTGTTTTGTTCTGTTTCGGAGGGAGGAGTGAAATTTGGGTTTGTTAGTCATGTCATAAATATGGATTTTTCCAAAATTATTATGACTTAAGAACCACTTTTGAAATTTTGCACAGCTGTAGTATGTGTGTGTGTGTAAAGATCATATTGTCTCTCAGCTCACATTTCTTGTTTTTATAAGGATTTCAAGGTGCTTATTATTATTATTATTATTATTATTATTATTATTATAACTTTATTTGTACCCCGCTAGCATCTCCCGAAGGACTTGATGCGGCTTACAAAGGCCAAGGCCTCAATACACAACATAACAATACACTTAAAGCAAATTAAAAACAATTAAAGCAGTATTAAAACAACAAAACCACAAGCAATAAACAATACATCAACAAGATAAAACTGGGCCGGGCCAGAGTAAAGGGTACAGGATTAAAAAGTGCTGATGTGACTGGTGATATTATAGGGCAAGTGCAGTGTGCAGTGTGCGGCAGTCTTAATTCTAATAAAGTGCTTCTGGGACTTGGTATTGGAGATTTCCTAATCGGGAAAGGCACATCGGAACAGCCAGGTCTTCAAGTTCTTTCTGAAGACTGCCAATGTAGGGGCCTGTCTAAGATCTTTGGGGAGGGTGTTCCAGAGACGGGGGCCACCACGGAAAAGGCCCTGTCTCGTGTCCCCACCAAACGCGCTTGTGACGCAGGCGGGATCACGAGCAGGGCCTCTCCGGATGAGCGTAGTGAACGCGTGGGTTCATAGACGGAGATGCTTAGAGAAGGAGCAGTCATAAGGAATTAAAGGGATTCATTGTGCAAAATGTAAGTGCGGAGGAGAGATTACGTAATTAAGAAGCTAGGACCTTAATCATGAATGGAGTAACCTTTTTTGTTTTATTAGATACGTCCTCTTATATACTTCATTTACTTATCTCCCATCCTTCCTCCTGTCTCTGCCTATCTTCCTTCCTTTCTCATTTTTCCCTTCTCTTTCTTTCTTCCTTCCTCCTTCTTCTTCCTTTCTCCTTCCTTCCTTCTTTCCTTCCTTCTTCCTTCCTTCTCCTCCTTCTTTCTTTTCCTTCCTTTTTCTTCCTTCCCTTTCCTTCCTTCCTTCCTTCCTTCCTTCCTTCCTTCCTTCCTTCCTTCCTTTTCCTTCCTTCCTTTCCTTCCCTTTCCTTTCCTTCCTTTTTTCCTTTTTCCTTTCCTTTCCTTTCCTTTCCTTTCCTTTCCTTTCCTCCTTCTCCGCGCTGGCCGCTTGCTGGCTGCTGAAGCGGCAGGGATGGGGGGCGGCGCAGGGGGTCTTCAGCCCTTGCCTTCCCAGCCCGGGGCCCAAGCGCCCCCCTCCTCCCTGCGGCGCCCAGGAGATGATGCAGCCGGGCAAGGCGCCCCCGGAGGACGAGGAATTGGGGGCCTTGGCGGGGGGCTTGGCCGGGGCGGGGGCCGAGAGGACGGCGCTGCCCATCCCGAGGGAGCCAGGAGAGAACCTGCGGCGCCTCCGAGGCAGGAAGGTCCTCCTGGGAGAAGAGCGGCAGCTGGCCGGCTGGGCGCTGGGCACGGCGCTCCTGGGACTGGCCCTCGTGGTCCTGCACACCGAACTGGCCTGGTTTGGGCGCTGCCAGGTGAGTCCCGGCCCTCAGGTGGGCTTTGGCCTGTTGCTTCCTCACTTGGGGCTCAGTGGTGGCCTTCCAACCAAGCACTAAGCAAGGCTCAGTCTATTTCGCTTCCATGACCAGCTGGCAAAGTGTTTTCACACTCATGATGACTTTAAGGCAGGTATGGGCCAAATTGGGCCCTCCAGGTGCTTTGGAGTCCAATTCCCATCATTCCTAACAGCCTCAGGGGAAAAGGAAGGGGCTGAGGCTGTTAGGAATGATGGGAATTGGACTCCAAAGCACCTGGAGGGCCCAATTTGGCCCATACCTAATGTAAAGTGTGTGAACTTGCCATTTTGAGGGATCCCAAGATCTTCTATTCCCCCCACATGACATTTTCTTTTCAGTTTTGAACTTCGTTTTGTTGCAGAGAGTGGGACATGGAAAACTAACAATTCAAACACTTTTCCATTTCCACATTTCTCCTTCTCTGGGTCACTTTGCCTCAGTTTGTAACTACTGCTACTCGGATTACCTATCCGAACGTATCTCCCGTTACGAACCATTACAAAGTTTAAGATCAGCTGGAGAGGCCCTGCTCTCGATCCCACCACCATCCCAAACGCGACTGGTGGAGATGAGAGACAGGGCCTTCTCAGTGGTGGCCCCTCACCTGTGGAACTCTCTCCCCAGTGATATCAGATTGGCTACCCCACTCCTGTCCTTTAGAAAGGAATTCAAAACCTGGTTATGGGACCAAGCATTTGAACAATAGAGGCAACAATTGAGGAGAAGACTCAAGGGGTGCAGTAGGTTGAACCGCTGAGCTGCTGAGCTTGTTGACCAAAAGGTCGCAGGTTTGAATCCGAGGAGCGGAGTGAGCTTCCGCTGTCATCCCTAGCTTCAAGAACAAATACAATATTTAAAATGAAGAACAAGTAAAGTTAAATCAACAAACTACCAATATTTCAATGGGAACTATTGGCCTGCTTTTGGCTAATGAGATGGTCAATGTCCAGTTTCCATATTTGTCACTGCTAGTCATAATTTATTATTTATTTATTTACTGTATTTGTATACCGCCTTTCTCAGCCAATCGGCCACTCAAGGCAGTTTCCAACAAATCAGTACATATAAAAATGTAATACAGATTAAAACATTAAGCAATATAAAACACCACAAAAGCAATAAAAACAACATCATTAGCGTCTCATTATTATCAAGCATTGTCCAGTTCCATTGTCAAATCGTTCAATTTCCTATATTAGCTACTCTGCATTTGTAAATGCTTGCTCAAACAGCCACATTTTAACTTGCCTCCGAAACGTTAAGAGGGAGGGAGCAGATCTAATTTCCCTAGGGAGGGTGTTCCATAGCTGAGGGGCCGCCACTGAGAAGGCCCTGTCTCGTGTCCCTGCCAAACGTACTTGAGATGAAGGCAGGACCAAGAGCAGGGCCTCCCCAGACGATCTTAGAGTCCTCGCTGGTTCATAAGGGGAGACACGTTCATACAGGTAACAAGTGATGCAAGTGTGCATCAGTTAGTCTAGATCTGGTTGGAGATTTCAGATGTTGCTTTCTGGAAAAAGTCTGTTCACAGACATAAGCGTTGCCAAAGATGGTTTTTCCGCTAAAAGATTTCGAGTTGTGGGGAGATGGCAGAAATTTTCCTCCTTCGCTTGCTTGATGAGGTCCAGTGCTTCTTGAAGAGGTGGGGGACTCACCCTTCTCCACACCCGGCAGGCCAGATAAATGTCCTTGGTGGGCCACATGTGGCCTGTGGGCCGTAGTTTGAGGACCCCTGGTTTAATGGATTGTTTTAAAGGAATTTTTATGAATGTGGATGGCACTGAATGAGTGCCTGTGGTGAAGCCACCCTGAGTCCCTCCTCGGGGGTGAGAAAGACGGGGTACAAATGGACAAAATAAATAAAGAAATACTCTGTTGAAATGTTAAGTGATTGCAATTCTTAGAAATGTGAAGACTCAAGTTGAAACTTCATGCAGAATTGTTCAGGGAGGGCAATGTCCTCCTTTTGCCAACTTCCTCTTTGCTCAGTGCCGAGTATCGGACAGTGGCCTTCTGGATGACAACTCGCAGCCAGGCAATTGCTGGCAGTTGTAGTCCAAAGATGACATCCTCAGTCTCTCTACTCCTATATTGAGGCAGGTTGTTGCTCCAGGTCAGTTTCCTTTCGAGCAGTGGTTCCCAACCTGTAGTCCATAGTCTACCAGTGGTCTGCAAGAACTAAAATATGGTCCACAGCACTACCATTACTACATCATTGCAACTGGAGCAACCGATGTTGCAAAGCCCTCCTATAGTGCTGAACTTTATTACATATTGTTTTCTGTGGGCGAGCAGATGGTGACTACTGGATGGCATATGTTCTGTATGAGAAACTAGAGCTGATGTGGTCTATTCAATGCAGTTTTCTGAATCAGCGCCCCAAATCACCAAACCGAATCTAAAGTTGACCAAAATCTGATTCGCAACCCTTTTTGTACTAATGTTGGAGGGTGGTCCCTTGTCAAAGTGGTCCCTGGTCAAAGTGGTCCTCGGTGAAGTGGTCCCTGGTCAAAGTTGTCCCTCATCAAAGTGGTCCCTGGTCAAGTGGTCCTTGGTCAAAGTGGTCCCTTGTCAAAGTGGTCCCTGGTCAAAGTGGTCCCTGGTCAAAGTGGTCCCTGGTCAAAGTGGATCCTGGTCAAAGTGATCCCTGGTCAAAGTGGTCCCTGGTCAAAGTGGTCCCTGGTCAAAGTGGATGCCTGGTCAAGTGGTCCCTGGACAAAGTGGTCCCTGGTCAAAGGGGTCACTGGTCAAAGTGGTCCTTGGTCAAAGTGGTCCCTGGTCAAAGTGGTCCCTCGTTAAGTGGTGCCTGGTCAAGTGGTCCCTGGTCAAAGTGGTCCCTCGTTAAGTGGTGCGTGGTCAAGTGGTCCCTGGACAAAGTGGTCCCTGGTCAAAGGGGTCACTGGTCAGTGGTCCTTGGTCAATTGGTCCTTGATCAAGTGGTCTCTGGTCAAAGTGGTCCCTGGTCAAGTGGTCCCTGGTTAGAGTGGTCCTGCTCCACGTTTCAGGAAAAAGTCTTTTCAGTGGTTGTACCCAAGCTTTGAAATGATCCCTCATTTTGGTATGCTACCCACTGTGTACTGCTACATGTTGCTTAAGTAGGCATTTTGCTTTATGAGTTCTATATCATGTTTTCTGTATAGTACTGGTCTGTCTTGATGATATTGTTGCTGTGGGGAAATGTTATTACATCTTCTGATTGCTTTTTATTGTTTTGTGTGTGTGTGTGTGTGTGTGTCAGGAGCGACTTGAGAAACTGCAAGTCGCTTCTGGTGTGAGAGAATTGGCCGTCTGCAAAGACGTTGCCCAAGAGATGCCTGGATGTTTGATGTTTTACCATCCTTGTGGGAGGTTTCTCTCATGGGGAACTGGAGCTGACAAAGGGAGCTCAATCCGTTCTCCCTGGATTTGAACCGCTGATCTGCCAGTCAGCAGTCCTGCCAACACAAGGGTTTAACCCATTGCGCCACCGAGGCTCCTCTCAAAATAGGTGCCTTGCATGGGAACTGGAAGGAAGTAAGAAGTAGTTCACTTTTTCCAAACCAAAATTGCTACCACACATTGCTAGAAAGGAAGGCAAACTTTTATATTGTTATTTCCGGTCCTCCAAGCTGTCTCAATAAAAGACAAGACCCCAAATAAATACACATTAAAATTAAATGAATAAGTGTGTTTTCCAGTCTTGGGCTCTTCCTCCAAAAAGGGCTCCCTTTCTATACAAATCTAAGTGGATGAGTCTGCTAAAACTGTAGCGGACGAATGTCAAGATTAAACAAGTTCTGCATCTCCTCGCCCCAGAAAGTTGTGATGGCCGCATGCCTACATGGCTTTAAAAATGGATAAGTTAAAATGGATAGCGGGGATAGGTGTTTCATGGCAGCTTACTCATCAATTTGTTTAAAAGCCACAGTGCTGTTCTTTGAGAGAGACCATTTCTTAGATCAGAGTTTCTCAACCTGGGGGTTGGAAACCCTGGAGGGAGGGTCGCCAGGGGGTTTCAAAGGGGTCGCCAACGATCATCAGAAAACACAGTATTTCCTGTTGGTCATGGGGGTTCTGTATACCAAGTTCGGTTCAATTCCATCATTGGTGAGATTCAGAATGCTCTTTGAGTGTATGTGAACTATAAATCCCAGCAACTACAACTCCCAAATGTCAAGTCTATTTTTCCCCCAAACTCCACCAGTGTTCACATTTGGGCATATTGAGTATCCATGCCAAGTTTGGTCCAGAAGCATCATTGTTTGAGTCCACAGTGCTTTATGGATGTAGGTGAACTACAACTCCAGAACTCAAAATCAGTGCCCACCAAACCCTTCCAGTATTTTCTGTTGGTCTTGAGAGTTCTGGGTGCCAAATTTGGTCCAATTCCATCGTTGGTGGAGTTTAGAATTCTCTTTGATTGTAGGTGAACTATAAATCCAAGCAACTACAACTCCCAAATGACAAAATCACCCACCACCCCAACCCCATCAGTATTCAAATTTGGGTGCATTGGGTATTTGTACCAAATTTGGTCCAATGAATGCAAATATATCCTGCATATCAGATATTTACATTGTGATTCATTACAGTAGCAAAATTACAGTTATGAAGAAGCAGCGAAAATAATGTTATGGTTGGAGGTCACTTCAACATGAGGAACTGTATTAAGGGGTCATGTAATTAGGAAGGTTGAGAAACACTATCCTAGATGATCCAGTGTGTGTGTGTGTGTGTGTGTGAAACTACAAGAAAGGAGATTCCATCTGAACATGAGGAAGAACTTCCTGACTGCGAGAGCCGTTCAGCAGTGGAACTCTCTGCCCTGGAGTGTGGTGGAGACTTCTTCTTTGGAAGCTTTTAAACAGAGGCTGGATGGCCATCTGTCAGGGGTGCTTTGAATGCAATATTCCTGCTTCTAGGCAGGGGGTTGGACTGGATGGCCCATGAGGTCTCTTCCAACTCTATGATTCTATGAA